TTTTTTTTTGTTTTAATTGACGTAATTTAATAGAAATATTAAAATGAATAACATGTTAATAATTATAGCAATGGCAATGATACATTATTAATAATACTGTAGCGATGGTGAAGCCACGTACTTTCTAGCATGCTTTGCAGCACACTTTCTGTAAATAGTGGATATTTTACAAATAGGTATGTTTAAGCTTTGAGTGTGTTCAAGTGAAGCAGTCTGTGTGGAATGAAAGGATGTGGGCTGAAAGTCTTTGTGTTCCAATGTGCATTGTTACCCCTCGAGCGAATCGCGACTGAAGAACATCATCCTTTCACCACAAACGAGGGCATATTATTAAGCACCCATAGAAATAGAACAGAAGCATTTCTACTGTAATTTTAGATGAAAAAATGGCCACATGACACAACATAAACCATGAAAAAAATACAATATAGTTTGCCATGAAACATTTAGATTTTGCCACAAAACACCAAACTATTTGCCGTAAAAATATTACAATTGTTCAGCTATTAAGATCCAGACAGTTACTTTCAGAATTGCACATTTTTTTCTAAGTATTGCTTTTAAGGTTTTTTTTTTTTGTTTTTTTTACAATAAGAGTTGGAACCTTCTTTTAATCTTCATGGCTTCATTTTATTTATGTTTTTTATGGATCTTGAATTTACACTATTTTTAATATTGTGCTTGTTTGAGATGAATAAAAATCGAATCAAATCATAAGCGTTATTGTCCTACATGCTCTTTACTGTAAAGTTTGCAGGTTTTGAGGAGGGATGGATGGGCATTTTGCCCCACTTGCTTCGTTGTCTTTGAGGGTCTTTGGGTGGATGGCGCGGGGGCTTCTGCTGGTTCCAGAAGTCAGCGCAGCCGTCCAAGTATGTGAGGCAACCCTGGATGACATCATGCAGTTGCTCACCGTTCCTCGTCTTCCCTTTCCCCAAGTCTGCAGATTAGAATACACCCAAACATGATTAGATCATGACAGTTTGCCGTAAACGCGGACATATGCATTAGAAACAGGTGAAGCACTGCCCTGTCTGACTGCATGGTTGCCAAAGAAAGGCTAGCACGCTAGCTAGCTAAGAAGCCAGATCTAGATCAGATGGATGGATCGACATCTAAACATTAAACACACAATTCAATTGTTACAATTCTGATTAATAACAATGATAATATAAAACAACATAAATGTTTCTAAGAGCTTTAAAAAAATGTACAAAAAAAGAAACATTAACAACAAACATACCTTCATCCTTTAACAGGTTCTCCAGATATCTCCTGTCCTCGTAAAACTCCCCCAGGTATTTCTTGCTCTTCTTTTCTGACTTGGAGGCGTGTGGTTTCTTGGCTTTTGCCATCTGTTGTGTGAGATTGGTTGTGTTGATCATCGTAATATGTAGAGGGATGACAAATTGATGTGTGACTACCTCTGCATCTTTTTGCTGGAGTTCTGCTTTAAGCTTCTGTTTGATGGCGGCAGGGACTGAGTGATGACATGTATGATGATATAGACAAAATATAATCAATCAGTCCGGAGTTGGGCAGGAGCCCTTAGCTGTTCACTGATGATATTATCAGGACATTTTGGATAATTGTATGCTTCCATCATTGGTGTCGGTCACATACCGGTGACGGCGTTCTCAATGGCCTCCTGAGCTTTCTGGATGCCCACCTTGAACTCATGGACTTGTGGGCGCAGCTTCAGCCCTTGGTGGTAAAACACTAGCGCAAATTCAAATTCCCCCAAGCAGTACAAAGCCTCGGCCTTCTGGTACAACCCCTAATGTAAAAAAAAAAAAAAACACGAAATATTTATTATTGATTCCAAATAAGAGTTTACTATGACATTGAAAAAAAAACCATACCTCAAAAAAGGAATGGTCTTCTTGAAGTGAAGCTTCGGCGTCCCCCAGGGCTTTTTCATACTGACCCATCATTAGGTAGCACTTGGAGCGGCCCACGAAGCAGTATTTGTCCTCGGGTTTTAGTGTCAGAGCCTGTTATACGATTGAGAATATCCACTTTCAGTACAGTACGTGACCGTACGTGACAGTGTAGTACGTACCCCAGAAAATACCCCACACCCCCAGGCTGGCAGAACATTCTCGTCACATTTGCGGTTTAATAGGGTGTTTCAAGGTTTGTTAGCATTCATAATTTTTTTCCTGAGCTGTATTAAGAAAAACATTTGAATGACTTATTTTCAAACTCTACAAAATGAAAATGGTCAGAAAAACGACTGAAAATGAATTTTCACGGTGAAAACAGTTGTGTAAAGTGTTTTATTTTAAATATGACCGGCTTTTATTGATGCGGATATTTGGACGGTGAAAAAAATTCCGGCTCGTGAGCACTCACCGTACTGAATCTCTCCACTGCTTTCTCATACTCCCCCTTGAGCAGCAACCAGTCTCCATCCGCCATTAAGGTAGAGAAAACACCCTTAGCCTTCGGACTTTTGCACTCGGACTCCGTTTCGGACATTTCCCCTCGGAGAATTTCACTTAAAAAGCGGAAAAAAACAAATGCAGGCGAGTAAGCGCCTCTCTAACTAGGTAACTTGGCAACCGCACTAACAAATGAGCCAACAGCGCCCCCCATTGTAAAGTATGTGGAAACGCAGGCTTTTTCCCCAGACAGCACATTAGGGACACTTGATCAATGAGAGCTAATGAGACTTTTAAGAGTTAAATTCAACACGTATAACAATTGCTTTTCAGGTACAATAAATAATGATTATGTACAATAAATAATGATTATTTATGGAAAAGGTATTGCTGCCACACGAGAAAAAAAAAGTTTCACGTTATATACCGTGATGTGTCTTGTTCCAGTCACTGGCAGAGCCACGTGTAGGGATTTACATTTAAAAAAGAAAAAAAAAAAAGACAGATAGATTTAGCATTATCTTTTCTATACAGCATTTGTAATGCTTTTTCCTAGTTGGTTCTAATAACATGTAAATAGAGACAGATGAGGCCTCGACTTTATTGACACGGTTGATAAAAACAGGAAGGTTTCACCAAAATGACAATGACACTATAGGCGAGGACGCCCTGATTTCTCCCACCTTATCAACGTCAACAAGAAGTATGTCTGGACCCGTCCCATAGACAACATTCTAAACATGTTCCCATCCTTTCGTTGTGTTGCATTTTAATGGTCGGAAAATTCTATTTTCCATGTGTTTTGTTGCTTGGATAAGTAGCTGTGACTGGCGCGGCGAAAAAGAAAAAAAGACAATAAATATCAAAATACGATCCAAAAAAAAAAAAACTAACTAATCACAAACCAAAATGATACATTCCAGTCACATGTGCAACGCAGCAATCTGTGGATGGCAACATCAAATATAAAAAGTGTTTATTTCAGACACACGATGGCCACTCCCACTGGCTTGGATGCCATTTCACGACCGTCCCTATCAGATACTTCAAATCAGAAAATGGCGATTGCAGTTTCATGCAGAGCGGGGAAGTAGTCTATTCTTCCCCCATGGACCCCTTCAAAAAAAAAAAAAAAAAAGAAAAAAAAAAAAAAGAGTAGCTGCACGACGTTCACTTCAAAGGTCTTCCATGTACGGCAAGTTTGTGTTTGGTTGGTGCGTGTCTGTACGTGTGGTTGCATTGAGTCGATGGCGGAGATGACAAGGATCCGTATCTGCTCAAGGATACAGACGGCGGGTCAGTGGGGAGAGGGGTGGCGTGCGTCAACAAGTCCTGACGTAGTGCCGGACTAGCGGGAGAGCAGACCACTTAACCGAACTGGAAGAAGAAATTCCCTGGCCCGGAAGCTGAAAGGCAATAAAGTCAATTGTGTGACGGACACAATTAAAGTCAAATTTGTATAAAACTTAAGAGAGCATGGACTAAAACAGCGGCTCGACAAATACTGTGATATAGGCGGGGTGTTTTACATCATCAGATTCTCTTACCTTCAAAACTAAAACCTCCCGGACCGCCAAAGAACGCCTTGAAAATGTTGTTGGCGTCAAAATCTGCCGTGAGACAACAAGACATGAGTTTCCACAAAATGGCTGCGATAGCGTGCCATGAAGGAAGCCTCCCCCCCAAGGCCGCACGCGCTTACCGCCCATGTTCATGCCCTCGTCCTCCAGGTCCTGTCCACTGTCGTAGCGCAACTTCTTCTTGGGGTCCGACAATACGCTGAAGGCCTCGCCCACCTCCTTGAACTTCCTCTCCTCTTCCTTTTGCACCTCCGCGCTAGCGCTGCTGTGGCGATCTGAAAAGGGAGTGGAGATCATGCCGAGGAGGAATTAAAAAAAAAAAAAAAAAAAAGGGGGGGGGGAAAAAAATT